ATACACTTTTTTTTGTAATTGGTCTGCTAACTGATTTATAGTATCTTGAGTTTCATTAAGCCCTTCTTCTATTATATTCATTCTGACAGATTGGTTGAATCTTTGTGGTTTTTTATATAAAGCTTTTGCTTGCTCGAGGTATTTAAGGTAATCAGGATCTTGGTAAAGTGGATCCATATTATTACCTTCTTGATCTACTATATAAAATGCTTGCTGAGGTTTTTCTGATTTTATAGGGTAAAACTTGGGTGGGGTTAAAAATTTCCCACTGTTGCAACTTGTGGTTGTTGTGCTTGAAGTTTAGCTTTTAATTTTTCTATCTCAGCTTTAGATTCAGCTCGCTGTTTTGCAAATGTATCTTGAATCATTTTTTGCATATCAGCCATGTGTAATGCCAGTTGTTGACAATAGGTGCATAGCGAGGTTGAGATGGTGCCTGTTGTAATATTCTATGACGTAATTCAAGTTCTGCCAAACTATCAATAATATCGTTAATGGGTTTTGTTTGACCAATTCTATAAATTTCATCTCTAATATCAGGTCTAACTCCAGATAAGAAATGGGTTTTCTTCTGTGCTGAAGTATAACCCAGTTGATCGCCATATTTCTGAATTTTTGCCCAGAATGAAGATACACTCTCATATACGCCTTGTCTTAATGCTCCAATTTCTAACATTTTTACATATTTATTAGCAGTTGGATAATGTTTTTTTATCCACGAAAGCCTTTGTCCAGATCGTATTTCTGCTAGAATAATAGGAACACCTCTTCCAGCATTTGGTGCAACTGGTACTGCATTAGTTGGGCGTCCTCCTGCTATTGTCCAATCTTCAGCAACATTTCGAGCAGAGATAATTTGTGTATCTGTAAGTCCAAGTGGAACATTTGGGAAAGAAGCGACTGCACTTGTTATACCTTCTGCATTAGTACCACGAATATGTGCTATTGTTTCACCTATACCAGAGTTATCAAGTACATTTTCTAACTCCCAATTTTTATTATCAAATTTTCTATAATACCATTCTCTCGCTTCTTCTTTTAAGGATCGATCTAATATAGTGAGAATATTTGCATCATTATTTACTCCAGCCAAGGTAATATATGATATAAATCTATCTATGAAATCTTCATGATCTTCTTCACCACCATGGAATTCTGGTTGTGCAAATCCTACAGGTAATGCCATCAGTTAATTT